ATAAATCATTTATATTAATTCATTAATCTTATAAATTAATATATCTCCTTTCATAATTTCCTTGTCCAGTTGCTACGTTGAGGGCAACCCAAAAGGACTGTGCTGCTATCAATTCAAGTACATACCAATTATAGTTATGAGCTTAGACACCTAATCCAACATAAACTTCATTACCTTTTAAATTTTCGTTAGACTTCACTAATACTTTTGTGCTCCTAGCACAAACAATATTATGTAAAAAAAAATTAAAGTTTGTCTTCTTTATGATTTTATTACTAACTTTGGACTTTTATGCTATATATTTGTATACGACGGTTGAATGTGAAACTTTTAGTAAATTTAAGGAGTAAAGTAATCAAAATTGATTAGTTTAAGAACCGAAACTATAAAATTTCTCACCTCCATACAAAATAGTAAAACACAACATAAAAATTTCAAATATATCACTTTAAAGTTAAAGACTATATAACGAAAATGATAATAGTCTTGTAATAGGATTAGGCGGCAATTTCAACAATTTTTAAAAACTCATATTTTTGGCCAAAAGTTAAAAAAAATTAATATGTTATATTAATTATTTAAACAATAATAAATCTATAAAAGTCATTATCCAAATCGAAAAGTAGATTATGTAGCAATATATTTTTGAGAGATTTATTGAAGCTTATCTATATCTCAATTATCAAAACATTTTTGTGTAATTTTGTTATATTTTCATTGTAATGTATATTTATTTTTCAGTTTTAAAGTTCTTTCTAGTATAGTTTATTTGAAGACTTTTTTTGTTTAGTTAATAGGTTTTTGTTGAAATGAGTCTCACATCTTTATTTTCCAACTATAGCTTATTGAGCTTTTCGGTTCTTTGAGTACTTTCTATTACTTCCTAATAATACTTTTAGATTCCATGAGTTATTTTTTAATTTCTTCTCTTGTTCTACAACATCTTTGAAATTTGTAGTGTAGGCATTAGATAAAATTTGCATATCCTCTGGAATTTGAGGGCTTAATCGAAATGGTGAGATTGATCAAAAATAATGAACCATTATAAGCCTCGTTTCGAAACAAGAGGCTTAATCGTTCTGTTTTATAAATAATATTGACCAACCAATAAAGCATGTGCCATTTGTAAATCTGAACATGTACACACAAGAAAAAAGTATACACACATGAAAAAGTATTAAAAATGCTGATAGTTACTTGAACTTTTTACAAAATAATAAAAAATAAAAATTGATCCTATGGTGTTTTCAAACATCAGCAATATGTAGATATCAAATTGATTCACTGTCACACATATGAAAACATGTTATGGATGTCAATTATGAACCATGTGTTGACATAAAAAAACTAAACAATTGTTTAACTAAAGCTTCCATAGTGAAATAAAAGTTGAAATCCTTGAAATTTGAAGGGCTTAGTCGAGAAAATTAGTCTTAACCAATAACCATGTGAGAAACCATAAAGCCTCGTAAAGATGCACCATCCATATGAAGTTAACATGAAACACAAAACAATAGTCTAAACACAACACATCATGTTTACTAAAAACAAAACTCTGGTAGAAATTTTACAATTTTCAAATAGGTGGGAGTATTGCATATTAACCTGGATTAGATATCAAAAAAGATATAGACACTATAGCCCAACACTAATCAATACAAATCAATGCCAAATGAATATCAAGTAACTTTCATGAAGTTAACATCCAAAATTACATTGCAAACTCTCTACTGCCTTAATCAAAATAAAAAAAACATATTTCAACTACACAATAATGGCCAAAGTATCAACAAAATATAAACCAAAGTATCATACAACGGACAATTGGCAAATGAAAAAACAAAACTTGTTAAACATGAAAGTGAAAGTTTATCAGTCCAGTGATTTAGGCACATCGATGTATTTCTATTGAACTAAGCCACTTCCTTCTTCAAACAACAGTACAAATTACAACAACAAAATTGCACCAGAAAAGGTTCAACATCTGCACTTCCATGATCTCCTTTCAATCCATCCACAGTCAATCAAACTTTTGAGAAAATGTTGGACAAAATATAAAAAAAATTAATGTAAACATCATTAAACATAGATACACACGTACAAATGCACACATATACACATGATTTACCTACAAATAGACACTAATGCACACATATAAGCATAAGAAAATACACACACACATAGAACTATCCACATATACATATTACACATACAAATGAAAAAACAAACATACCTAGATCATGTGTGTCCGAGTAGATGGATATGTGATGAGGTGTTGTTGTTTGCGTTCAGTACCTGAAAACAGCAAGGAAAACCAATAGATTACAATAAAATTAAAGATTCGGAGTGTAAAGCTTAGATATAAAGACACAAAAACAAATAACTTAACTTTATATTATGAAGGATTCTCTTCCACTCAACCAGGTAAACGCAAACTGTAAGAAAAAAGATTTCCTGTTACATACCAATACATACAAATAAACACAAATACGCACAAAACACATACAAATATACAGACAAAAAACCCATTGCATAGTTGAACTTAGACGCTTACACAAAAATACAAACAAATTCGATTTTTTTTAACTCGATATGGGATGATATGAATTTAAAATAAAAGGGAAATTATAGACCAAAAACATCAACATAACATAAAAAAGATGATCGTATTTGATTTGTTCGTACCTAGATATGGACGAATACGGAGATGCGATCAAGATTTAGGACATGTAAATACAAACATACACATTTAGAGAGAGACCTCTTTGGGCCAAGATTCTATAATTTATAGGGTTTCTCAGAAATAAGGGGAGGTGTTCAGTAGTGTCATTGGTGGTTGAAGGCAGTGACGGTGACGACTAAGCAGAGACGGAGAGAAATGAAGCGACAAGACATATGGTGGGTTGTGTTTTGGTTGTGATTTTCAGAAAGAGAGAGAAAGAAGAACGAAGAAGAAGGAGAAGTACAGTGGTGGCGGTGGTGCGTAGGTGTTGTCCGTATGATGTAGTGTATGATCAATTCAATTATCACTGACGAAAAAGGGGAAATCGTCGATTTTTTTTTTTTTTGGGGGGGGGGGGGACGAATAGAGATCGAGAGGATGTTGCAAGACATTTCTCATTGCGGTGGTGGTCGAGGAGAGTGCAAAGCTGGCTTGCGATGGTCTCCGATTGAGAGAGTTTAGAATTTATGGGTTTTAATTTTAATTTGAAACGTAAAATGTTCAACTGGTGCATTTGATTTGGACAAATGATTCAACTTTTGTTAGCAAATTAGGGAAAGGGGTCGACATATGGGGAGGGGATAAGGCGCAGATCAAGATAAAGGAAATCAATCCAAACTATGCATCATGTATTGGAACATATAGCTGTTTAAGTTGGACGATTTGCTAAAGGTAAATTTGATTTTAAAGGTTTAAAAGTAATATTATTATTTTATTGTTGGTTACTTGTACTATCACTTTAACGGTTTGGACGTCTTAAAAATATAATATTATTATATTCAATCTATTTTTAGAAATAGTTAGATTTCTTTTATAAGATAGTAAATATATATATTACACCCGCGCGATGCAGCGGCGCAAGCTAGCTTCTTTCGGCAGATAGTTTCCACACAACAATTGGTTTTTTATGGTTGTGCGTCAGTTCCTTTTGGCAGATAGTTTCTACACGACGATTAGTTTTTTTTTACAGTAGCATGTAAACTCTATTTTTAAATTATTTGATAGGTTTTTCAAGCTAAAGCCAAATTCACTTGCTAAAATCATATTTTAATTTAAATGCAAACCAATCATTTATTTTAGAAACGTAATAATTTTTTTAGAGAAGGCCAACAAGCTAAACACAAACTGTAAAAAAAACAAACAACAAAAAATTGAATATTGTTATAACATACATAACATTAATGCACCAATAATAGCAGTGCACTATAAAGATGTAACCAGATGGAAGTATCTACTCCTTTACAGGCCTCTCGCTGCCAATGCTGGAACTTATCTCTCTTCTTTTTCCATTTCTTACTTATTGCAGCTTAATTCCGTCTTTAAGGCAATTGGCTTCACCTACCACACAAGCATAAAACCATTAAACAACCTAATAAATTATAATAACATATAATACCCACAATAGTAATCAAGTTATTACCCGATACTTGCAAATTCCCACTAATTCACTCTTGTAAGCCAAAAAGTAAATAACCTAATCCCAGACTAATGTTTCTCAAAACTGTAGAATCAATCAAGTCTAGCTTCAATTTTAATGAAGCTTTGGAAATGTGTCAAGGGTAATAGTGGTTAATGAAGTGGCTGTAAAAGTCACGGGTCACATAATCTACCACATGCCCTATTTCTTTTTTTTTTTCAATTAAATGATGTCTAGTCCTCAAAACAAACATAAAAATCAACAATATTTAATTAATTCACTGATTATGTTTCAAACCATACCACCAAAAACAATTTCCAGGTCTGATTCAACGGCTAAAGCCTTCGCCTCCTATAAATCCCGACATTCAAAGATTAATATATACCCAATGAATTGAAAAACATACATAAATATATGTAATTCATAACAAAAATTAAATGTAAAATAAACACACAATGATTTCTTGAATACTTCCCCTTCCGGAAGGGACCCCTTGAACCCGCAAACAACAACTTAACCCGATAAAAATTGATGATTCCTTCTTACATTATTGCTATATAAACACCCTCATTAACACACTAATTCATGAAGTAATTGATTACATCCCTAAATGTTAAACAATTGTAAATATTGTCAAGTTAATATGGAACAGAGTAGTAAAACCATTTCTAAACATGAGTCGGCAAGTGAAATCAATGACCTACAACATTAAACAATCCAGTTAGCATGGATTCAACATAGACTAATTATTTAAAACAATGAATCCCTCATAATAGGCCACTACAAAATTATATAAAATGCAATCATTTATAAAAATATTATATACACATATCTTGTAACTGAGTAACAATACACGCATGAGAAACATGTTTCATTACCAACAAATTATTTGGAAATTTATAAACTTATATAAAAAAATAAACATCGATGGAAAGAGTGCAATGATCCAAGATGTTCTTACCAGGATATCAAGTTACCTACTCTAATTATCCGGTATTTATATTTTTGTTCTTTTCACCATCAGCTTCTTCATCAAATCCTGAAATGCAAGAACGACAAATGAGTCTTGACAATTAAAAAAAATGCCCTAATTTAGGTCAGAAATGACTAAAATAATAAATAAAAAATGTAGTGAACCAGGTGAAAAAATATTAAAGGCACAAATCTATGTTTGTGTTTGTCAACAAAAAGATAAACCGAGAATAAGAAGAAAGAACACAGATGTGTTTCCCCTCTTCCTCTCTCTGTACTTCGAGTCCATTACCTCTCCGCTAGATCAGGCTAAGGGGTATGGTTACCACCAGCCTACTCAAAAAGTCACGCCACATCAGCGCCACATCACCTCCACTACTAACCCACTAACCCTTGGAAATGGTTACCACTCAACATCATTTTTATTTTTCTTTTTTATATTTTTTTGACAATATTAGCTTAAATTAAAAAATAATTATTAAACAAAAATAAAAACATAAATATTAATCAAAAGCATTTTACATTAATTTAAAAACTAGAAAATTTAAAAGCTACAATACTTAAAAAAAACATAATTATTTAAAACCTAAATTACTTAAAAAAAAACCATATAAAAATATTACTCGTCGTCCTGCTCGTCGTCATCCTCGTCGTTATCTCCGTCGTTGTCAACGCCATCGTGTTGCCTTTGCCATATATGCTCAGTCAAATCATAACGTAAATTGTGATGTGTTTCACTATTTTGTATTTCCAAAACTCGTGTGAAATATGCAGGGCTGCCGACTTGTATTACTGCAGGTGGGTTAAGAATATCTTCCGGATTATACATACAAATAGCCCTGCCCTCTTCTTCAATTATCATGTTATGTAAAATAATACAAGCAGTCAACACCTTCGTCAATTTCGCCCTATCCCATGACCGTGCCGGATGTTTAATAATGTGCCACTTTTGTTTGAGGACCCCAAACGTTTGTTCCACATCCTACCTTGCCGATTCTTGTGCTAACTTGAACAATTTTCGTTTTTCATCGGCCGGAAATGAGTACGACTTGACAAACGT